GGGGGGGGGTATGATAATAATAATAACAAAAGAGAATGCTTGGACACTGCTAGTATAATGGACAGAGTTTTTTGGGGGGCTTCCACACAAACACAAAGCAGAAGATGAAACGTCGCCAAATATGTTTCCAAACCAACTTCTTTCCAAGCCAAAGATTAGAAAATATGATAAAGCACATCTTGCCTTTGGGTTCACCTACGTGGCTTCACCACCTATGTGTTGCCTTCTGTTCCTAAAAAAAGCAACAGAGCACTCGGTGGTCTCACAAACTCAGGTGGGATACTGTCTGTCCAATCAAAAGTAAAGTCGGGGTTCTGTCTGAGGTTGATGTCTAAAAATGATCAGTGCATTGCTGGAAGATGCAATAAGACGGTAGTTGGGAGCACTGTGCCACTGGATACGTCCATACGTGCCAGCAAGAAGTAGCTTTCCAGAAGTGGTCCTTGATTCTTGGAAAAACTGTTTCACTAATGTACTCAAAACTCATATCATATCAGCCCTGTAATATATCTCCACTTTGGTCAATTTGTACAAACAGAACCATGGCAACGACCACTGACAGCTTCTCATAATACATGCTGGAAATCACAGTTACTCTGACTACCTGAAGGTTATTGACTTCCTGGTTAGATGAGCAGCAGAGACCCAGAAACCAAAAGGCAGATTTATGCTGCAGATAAGTAATACAGGATAGATCAGGTCGTTATTTATATCCTCCTTTATTTGTACCCTCCTCTGTCTTTTACATATTTACACAGGCAGCTATATATATGCATATTAGATGTATATTGTCCATTTTCATTATTCCACTGGTATAGTGTTTATTGTGTGTTATGAAAAGCAGGAGATGGAAAGCTGGTCTCACACATTAATATGCACGATGGAACTTAGCTTTGTTTTCATTAAAACAATTTAATGTGCTCTTTGTTATCTTTAGCATCATTTGTTCATTGCAGACATGGTGAGTTATATCTTACATTTAATGGGGGTTCAGGCAATAGCTTGGACCCACTCCTCACTTTCTCTAGACAAGCATGCTCTCTGTTGTCAAAACGTCTCTCACCAGTTGCCGTTTACATGGCTGGCTTTGGTTTGCTCAGCTTTTGGAAATGAGAGTGGAGAGATTGAATTTAACAAACTCAGAGAACGACAGCAGGAGAACAGCTCAATGTTCAGTCTCCAAGGACAACCACCAACACACTTGCCTATAGCTTCTTTGTTTGATAGGTGGCACACTCAGGATTGAACAGGAACATAGTATATTACATTCCACCCACAGAAAGAAGTTAAATGCAAACCTGGACACTGCAAAAAATAATCTTTAACAGAACATCAGGGCAACTGCATAAAAAATTAAAATCGCTCAACAAAAAATTGATATATATATATGTATATATGTCAATTTAGTTCAAAAACTGCTGATTCAAAAGCCTCAGTTTTAAAGTATTTGCACACACATGCACCAGTGAACGAGAAGGTCGCTTCCCTTTGCCTTTTGGGTCAGAGAATGGGTTCTGTCATTTGTGCTTATGCACAGAATGGCAGTTCAGAATACCGAACCTTCTCCTACTGGGAGACTTTAACACTGTGGGCAACAACAGTGAGACCTAGGGGGGTGTAACTGGTCAGAACAGCGGGTTACCCTGTGGGACTTCAGAGGTAGCTCATGGGTACAGGCAAGCCAAACAGAATGTGGTTCAGCAGTAGCTGAAGCCAAAAAATCTGGTGTGCAGAGGGTGTTCCTGACCTCAGCTGAGGATATAGTCAACCAGTGGAAGGAATACTTTGAGGACCTCCTTAATCTCACTGACACATCTTCTGTAGAGGAAGCAGAGTCTGGGGACGAGATCACTGAGGTAGTTTATCCTTTATTGGCCAAGATTTGTACAGGTCCAATGGATTATTTTGTTATTTTGGGTGCAAAATGAAAAAATAATTAACATCTTTTAGGAACCATTTGAATTTTCTCTCTAGCCCAAAATGGTTGAGGAATATGAAAACGTGAAGCGCATGTGAAATAATCTAATCAGACCTGATTTTTTTTACATCCATGTTCAGACAGTACTACCTTGTGGATGTCTTCTGCTACCATGATAACACAATATCCCTGTAAAGCTCACTTTTTCTTCTTTCCAAAGCATTTTGTCTCTAGCACAAACGGTAACAGAGTTACTGACATTTAAAAACTCCTTGTAAAATGGGCAAATGGTAAATTATAATGGCCAACAATAAGTCTGTTTGGTTTCCCCCGCAGATGCCCTTTGTCACCAATTCTAAAGGTTAGCCAGGTGGCACACCATTTGTCATCATCACTATACATGAGATTGTTGTTTTCACTGGATTATCATACAAATGATATGGGGCAGCTCTGTCTCAGGAGGTACAATAGGTCATCAACTAATTGGAGCATAGTGGATGGATCAGTCTGTATGTTGAAGTATCCTTGGGCAAAATAATGAGTTGCCCTCTGAGTTACAACCACATTCATTGGAGTCAGTGTGTGTGAGTATGAGAGTATGAGAATGTTATGTCATAGAGTAGTAAATGCTGTATGAATGTGTATGTGACTGAGTAAATTAGTAGAGAAGAATCAGTAGAAATTTAGAGTAAGTTAAAGAAATAAATGCAGCAGCCACTTGGCAAATAATAATGAGCCAGTCAAACTGTACAGTGGAACCCCGACTTACGAAACTAATTCGTTCCAGAGGGTAAGTCAAAATGTTCGTAAGTCGAAGCACCTTTTTCCATCGCCTTTTCCCAAAACCAAAAACGTCCTCCAGTTTTTGGTTTTGGGAAATATTTTAGCAGTTATAATCTACAGGACTTTCTTTTGCTTGTTTTGTTTGTTTTTGCTTGTTTTTGTCCTTTTTTGTGATACTTTTTGCAGTGTGTACCTGCAGCTTAAACTGGTTTATCAATAGCAGAAGTTCAAACAAATTAAATGAAATTTTCAAGCACTGCAGAGTTCCCTCTGCTCTATTCCCCATTTCCCAGCTGCAGAAAGCCAAGTATTAGATTACCATTCTTGCCTCTGGAATTTCAGGAACAACCGATTTTCTCTTAGGACCCCAGTCTTCACTAACCTCCCTTTTCACAGCGCCTTTGAATTCCTTTTAATTTTTACTTGGTGTGGCACTAAATGAAAATGGAGTATGCATGTATGCAGGTGTGTGTGTGTGAGTGTGTGTGTATGTGAGTTAAAGAGAGAGAGAGAGAAGGCAGACAGAGGGGAACACATATCTAAATAGGCTGTTTTGCATATAAAATGCTTTAGGTTTTATATTTCAGAGTAATATATTGTTCAAAGTGAGAGACAGTGCACACAGCCCCAGGCTATCCCAGAGTCATTAAGTAGCAGAAATGTAGTGAGGTGGACATAAAGCCCATAATTCAATAATAGTCCACTGCTAAGATAGAAAATTTATATTGAGATAAAATCCAGACAATAGCACAATGAGGTGAAAGGGTGGGAGAAAAAGCAGAACTAGATGAGAAAAATAAAAAAAGACAAAAGAAAAAGGAATGAGAGTAATGGACAAAGAGAACAAGGATGGATGCAGGAAATGAAAACTTACAAACGAGGTGTAGGTCAAAGCTACGACTCCAGTAGCCACTTCAGAAATGAATATGATGAGCATGATGGAGGCAAACTGCAGGGAGAGAAGAAGAGGGGAATGTGTCAAGGTTTTTCAAATATACTGATAAAAAAAGCTTATCTATAGTCGCATTGTTGTAAAATCAATGGACAGTGAGTACACGGGTCTATGCTGAAAGGACAGAGCTGATGATCCATCTTCATTTATTATGTTTAGTTCATTACAGCAGTTTCTCAGGTAGGCCAAATATCTGCTGTTAACTGTGATGCCAGTTGTAGAATATACTCCTCTGCTGTCATTCAACTCACCAGGAGCTGTAGACATGATGGGGGCGCTGCAGGGGCAAAATGTGCTGCCTGTGCTCCTCATTACTCACTGCAGTGGGCTAAGAGGTAGTTAACGTCTTCGCTAATGAGTGTAATAATGTACAATGTGTTGTACAAGGGTTGGTGGTGTTGCTGATATGGATGAGGAAGGAGGGTGGCTGATGAACCCAGTGTAAAAGCAAGGATGGGTGGGATACCAAAAAAATGTGGGCCACTTCATGAAACCACACAGTATCATTTTTAGTGTTTTTGATCTTAATATCAGTGTCCTCATTTAAAAGCAGTGAAGCAATACATATATGGATTATTAATCCATGATTGCTGTTTTATTCCATCTAATGAATTGAAGTTTAACATTTAGTCTTATTTCTTTAGTTGCTCAAACTTTCCATTGAGATGTGATTGAGATATGATTCCACTGAAATAATATTTAAGCAATTACAGGTGACAAACTTTTATTGACTCTGAAGACAGACTGAAACGACTACCTGAAACTGTGCATGATATCAGTGACTGACGTGACAGGGTAGTAAAAATATTAGAAGATTGTCTAGGCCTCCGGAGCCTGGAAAATCTGTTAGTGACTCATTGTCAGCTTCAAAATTCTGCACACCAAGTGAGTTTCTCCATCTGAATGCACACAGAGAGTGACTCTGCGTGCACCCTATAGTTTTCCTTCCAGTCTTTGTTCTTTTCCTATTTGTTACTGTTTGCTACACACTTATTTGTTACGCCAGTGTTCAGGTACTTTATTAGCCATGGTCTAAAGCAGGAGTTGTCCACTTACTGTAAGGAGTAGACACTTGCTCTTCCTATGGGCTGCATAACAGCCTAAGATTCCCAGCAGCACCAGCGCAGCCCCGATGACAATGCAAAAGAAGCCAACATTGACCACCTGGGTACTTTGTTTGGAGAAAGGTCTCAAGATCTGTAGCAAGGAAGCCCCATCACTGCTCACCCAGATCCCCAATGCCAGCAGAGTGAGGCCACCCATCTGTAGGAGAAACAAGATCCATATACTGTACACTTAAGAAAAAATTGTGTTCATTGCAAATTTCTGTTAAGTATGTGCAAGTAATTCCCATTTGACAAAAATAAGTAAATTAAATTGTTTAATTGAAAATGGGATGATCTGTTCAGTTCACTTTTTTATTTCTTTATTGACTTCTGCATTTACTTCTGCCATGCGTCAAGAGCAGTGCATCAATTTTAACATAGTATGTCCGTTTCTGTTTCCCTCACTCTCATTGTTATTTTCAATGTATTCTACTAGTACAGAATCATTTAAATTGTATTATTGGATACATTAATTGGTTACATTGTTTTTTTTAACAGAGCTGACAAATCAACAAGTTATAATCTCAGACAGACAGCCTCACGCTGATCTTGTTATATCAGATTACTGCTTTCCCCAGGGTGACTGTAGCTTAAGCTATGCATTGTAATGTTAACTGTAAAGTAGTATTTACAGGTAAAAAGAAATTATGAAATAACTACTACAATGACACTTACTTGTAGCATTCCTTATGTTTCCTGCATTTTTTATGTTTGAAAAGACAAATAGGGTCATCATCATTATTATGCACTAATTTGCATATATTTCCAATACACAGAGTGTAGTCAAATAAGTACCCAAATGTGTATCTTGGATATTTCTTTGCACTAATGAGAAAAATGGCTATGTAGCCTAATAGAAGGAAACCAGCTTAAAATATATAAAAAAAAAACGGCTTGGTTCATGAAGTCTTCAACCTGTAGTGTCTCACACTGGTCCACAATCAAGTAAGCCTCCCTATGGATATAGCCATTGCCGTTACTTAAGAAACCACATTACAAAACATTACATGCTGCACCAATTAGATTGATGCATGAGCATTACAGACAGATAAATTCTTTCAACCACAATTTCCGACTATTTAATGATGTGTTATGAATCCAAACAGAGGTGTCATCAGACAGTGTAGTAGTCTTTGTGTCTAGATTTCATGCCAGCAGCCCCTGAGGGTAAAAATAAAAGTTCTTTTCCTCTTTCCATCTTATAAAAATCCCATCCATCCATCCATCTTCATCCGCTTTGTCCGGGGCCGGGTCGCGGGGGCAGCAGCCTAAGCAAAGAGGCCCAGACCTCCCTCTCCCCAGCCACCTCCTCCAGCTTGTCTGGGGGAATACCAAGGCGTTCCCAGGCCAGCCGAGAGATATAATCTCTCCAGCGTGTCCTGGGTCTGCCCCGGGGCCTCCTCCCGGTGGGACATGCCTGGAACACCTCACCCAGGAGGCGCCCAGGGGGCATCCTTGTCAGATGCCCGAACCACCTCAGCTGGCTCCTGTCGATGTGGAGCAGCAGCTGCTCTACTCTGAGCCCCTCCCGGATGGCCGAACTTCTCACCCTATCTCTAAGGGAGAGGCCAGCCACCCTTCGGAGGAAGCTCATTTCTGCCGCTTGTATCCGCGATCTCGTTCTTTCGGTCACTACCCACAGCTCGTGGCCATAAGTGAGGGTAGGGACGTAGATCAACCGGTAAATTGAGAGCTTCGCTTTTACACTCAGCTCCCTCTTCACCACGACGGACCGGTGCAGCGTCCGCATTACTGCAGCTGCAGCCCAAATCCGTCTGTCGATCTCCGGCTCCCTTCTCCCATCACTCGCGAACAAGACCCCCGAGATACTTGAACTCCTCCACTTGGGGCAGGAACTCATCCCCGACCCGGAGTGGGCACTCCACCCTTTTCCGGCTGAGAACCATGGCCTCAGATTTGGAGGTGCTGATCCTCATTCCCGCTGCTTCACACTCGGCTGCGAACCGTTCCAGTGCGAGCTGGAGGCCCTCACCCGATGAAGCCAACAGAACCACATCATCTGCAAAAATCAGAGATGAGATTCTGAGGCCACCAAAGCGAAAGCCCTCCGCCACTTGGCTGCGCCTAGAAATCCTGTCCATAAAAATTATGAACAGAACCGGAGACAAAGGGCAGCCCTGGCGAAGCCCATTACCCACCGGGAACGAGTCCGACTTATTGCGAACCAAGCTCTTGCAACGGTTGTATAGGGATCGAATGGCCCGTAGCATTGCGGGATAAAAATCCCAATTAACTTCAATGTCTGCAGCAGGCTGCTCTATATGTTTTATCAGTCTGTTGTTGCAGGCACCATCTTCTTTGCTGTAGCGTGCTGGGTTGCAGGCATCAAAGCAAAAGACACAAACAGACTGAACAAACTCATCAAGAAGGCAGAGTCTGTTGTTGCCATGAAGCTCGCCACCCTGGAGGAGGTGATCAGTGACAGAATGCTGGCAAGACCGCAGGCAATGATGCAGCCCCCCCCCCATAACACACTGGACATTCTGAAGAGCAGTTTCAGGAACAGGTTCCTTCAACCTCGCTGTTGAGGGAACGTTACAGTAGGTCTTTCCTTCCCGCTGCTATTATTTATATGTATATTTATGTTTATACCTATCTCTATTTATGTATTTATCTTAATATTTATTATTCTTAACATTTCTTAATATTTATTCTATCAATACCTCTGTTTCTACACTCATTTTATGTGAGTGCTTGATGTTTGGTGTATATTTGCTGCTATGACAACTCAGTTTCCCTCTGGGATTAATATAGTTTCTCTGACCTGTGTGAAGGCATCTGCAAAATGACAGCATCTTTATGTCACTACCTTTAATTCGCACAAGCTCATAACCATCCAATGCTGTTTGAGAAAGCCAGCCTTCAGGTTTCTGGAGGAAGGCTCCAGGATTACCGCTTTGCCCGTAACAAAGAGAGAATGTTACTATCCTCCATTAATTTTATGGACTGCAGTGTAATTTTTCCATCTCCAGCTTTACAGAAACTGGACACTACGTATGTGTCCAGTATCCCCATGGGCATTCACCGAATAGCTTAGTAGTTAACAGCACTGTTTCACAGAAACTGTTATCTCCAGGTGCTTTACAACACAACATCAAAGTGAAGCCCAGTGAATATTAGTCTCTAGGTTTGGTGAGCGAGATAAATATGGATAACAATTGAAAAAAGGTCAATATGATAAGGGCTAAATGTGATGTTGTCCTGCTGCTGTATTAATCATGTAAAAAATATTTAATACATTTTCATTAACATGACAAAGAGTTATGGCAAATTTAAAATTGGATCACATTTTATATCATGTCTTGCTGTCATAAATCAGTAGTCTATTCAATTGCTGATTTCACTGCTGCGTGATACTTTCTGGTGAATTTCTGTTCACCAGATAGCTGTTGTACTTTGATTCTACTTGCATTTGCTAACAAACTACTGTAATGCTATCTTTGCAGAACTCTAACTATATGTATGTATGATAAAATGTGCTCTATAAATAAAATGTAATTGCCATGATCTCTCCGGCTCCTCTTTCATGTCTCCATCTTTGACTTTCTCTTCACTTTCTTTTATACCCTTTTAACCTTCTCCCTCCCCTCTGTGTATTTCACCCTCCACTCACCCTACTTTGAAGCCTCATATGAGCAGTCAGGCTCTATCAGACTGGTTTCAGTCATGGGACCCCCTTCTGCTCCACATCAGGAACCAGCACTCCACACTCCAGCACTCTTTCAGACACTGACATGTCCCTTATGGGAAAAATCTCCTGCTTCCTGTCTTTGTCTTTCCTACACATTCTCTTTGTTTTTGACTCTCTCATTTATTCTTGTTTTCACTCTCCACCTCTTACTCTGGGGTGTCTCTTCAGCCTGTTCAGTACATCATAGCATTGTCGACTAAATGTAATGCAAGAAGCATATTTCCCCTCAAACCCCATTTCTGTCACCATCATGCCCCATCTACAAAAAAGTGAAAAGTGTGCCAGCTATAAATACACTTATCACAGCTGGCACAGTTTTCACCTTTTTTGAGACCTTTGACGGTGTGTTATATGCATTTGGATGTCTTTTTCAGGATCTACATTGCAAAGGGACTGGGAGTAAACCAGGTTTTATGAGACTGAGAATTGGTGCTAGTGGTGGAGAAACAATGTCTTTGTCATCTATAGAAACAGAAAGAGTCTTACAGTTAGTGGACTGTGACTGAATAACAGGCTGCAGAATGAGAAACAAAGGCTCCAATAAGGGGATAGTAAAGCTACAGTGGGAATGAAAAAGAGAACCTCAGGGGAATTAGTTCTTTGAAAAGCTTGGAAAGTGATAGAAGGATAGACAGATAGATTTATCTTTATTAATGGGCTATGTACCACAGGCCTTTAAGGTGGCAGTATTAAAAAGCCATCACTTGACCCAGGAGTTATAATTTTGGATGTTGGCCTAATTATAGGGTAAATTATAGAGTAGTTGTAAAACAGCTAACTGGTTTGATTGAACTCATCACATACAGGAAGTGCAATAGTGAAGATCAAAAATGATCTGCTTATGGCTTCTGACAGTGGACTTGTCTCTATGCTTGCCCTGCTAGAGCTCAGTGCAGCTTTCACCACTGTTGACCATAATATTTTATTACAGAGATTACAACATGCCATAGGTAATGAAGTTGCTGCACTGCAGTGTTTTGAATCATATCCATCTATAGACTCCAGTTTTTTTCATGTAAATGGAGAGTTTTCTTCACATACTGAGGTTAACAGGTATCTGTGCTAGGACGCTTAGGCCATATCATTAGAGGATGTAGCATACATTTTCATTGCTATGCAGATGATGCATACCTTTATCTATCAAGAAAACCAAATGACACACATCAAATACTTAAACTACAGGAATGTCCTAAAGACATAAAGACCTAGATGCTTTAATTTCCTGTTTCAAAATTCAGATAAAACCATGAGGATTCTACTCTTCCCTAAAGTCTTGGTGTATAAAAACATTGTGTACACATGGTGGATGGCATTACCTGGGCTTCCAGTAACACTGTGAGGAATCTTGGAGTCATTTTTAACCAGGATATCTTCTTCAATGCGCACATTAAACAATTATACCATCAGTCAGTACTGATGCAGAGAAGGTTGTTAATACATTTCAGCTCCATTGGTGTTTATAAAATTAACAACGGGTTCACTAGAGGGGCCAAAATGAGATATCCCCACTAGTTCACCAGTTTTCCTTTTAGGGCTGGTGTAACTACTGGTAGCATGAGGTGTTATGTGGAACCTACGGACATTGGGCAGGTAGTCCAACTCCTGGCAATGCAACATATTGATGTGCCATCCTGGAGGCTTGCTGTTTCTCCTAGCACAGCGGTCCCCAACCTTTTTTGCGCCACGGACCGGTTTATGCCCGACAATATTTTCACGGACCGGCCTTTAAGGTGTCGCGGATAAATACAACAAAATAAAACTAGTACCGGTACCGAAAAAAGAAGATTTATTCATAACACACGTGAAAAGACCCAACGATAAAAACGATAACAAATAACGCTCAAAACCAAAAAAAACCCTGAAAACCATACATTTCTGAGCCTCAACTCTTGCAGCCCGGTACCAAACGACTCACGGACCGGTACCGGTCCGAGGCCCGGGGGTTGGGGACCGCTGTCCTAGCACACTCTCAAGCCACTTACTAGTGTTTTGATCATGAGCAACACATTCACAGATTAGAAGATTCAGTGGAGAAGTACAAATCATATGTTAAGATAATCTTGAACAGTTAAACACTTTGATTATTAAGTGTGAGATTCAGATTTTGTTTGGACTCTACTATAGTAGTTTTGCATGATTAGCATTTTGAAATAACTGGGCTTTTGAGCTGCCCCTCATTTCACTTCTCTGTCCGATGTGACATATTTTAGCTGCTTCCCTGTTCCCTATGAGATTTATCTCTCTTTAACTAGCATTTGATTACCTGGACCTTGTATGCACCTGAACAGCAGGAAGGGGCTTGTGTGCTCATAGCTCTCGCTTTTACTACATTTATTACTTATGCATATGTACTCACACTATTTATTTATCACTGAAGATAAGGAAACACAGTCTTAGTTGCTATCCTTTAATGTTCCTATACGTGCTCACTTATTTAGTTTTCTCCTGCCACTATGAACAACAGGGTTTAGTTCTTGAAAAAACGTCTGCTTTAGATATGTTTTGAAGGGAGCTGTAGTTGCATAAATATGTTTGAGCGTTCGCATTAAAGCAAGATCTTCATGACCAATAAATAACTGTTACATCATTCTCCTGTGCTGTCTTAGATTTCAGACGGACATCACAATCGCCGCACCTTGAGAGCTGCTGCACCAAATTTATCAAGCAGCACTCAGCCGATGATTTCCATTTTGAGGAAAATGGCTCATGCTATATCTCATCTATAGCTCACCTGGGAGAGGAAGAACCCAAGTGAGCCCAGACCCCAAGCAAACTTAGCTTAACATTGGTAAGACTGAGGTGAAGATGTACGTGGCATAATTAATGTACAGCCTTTAAAGTTAATGAGGTAAAAATTGCAACAACCAGGCAAAATCTTTGGTATAGAAAAAGTATTATTTAGGCCTTCAGAGTGGTCAGAGATGATTATGTAACATCTCTTTTTGCACTGAATGGGAAAGGGAAATTATTTTCCAGGTTGTTTGGTTTTTTTTTTTAAACTTTTTTTCTACGAATGTCACTCAGTAAATGAGTGTCTCACAACCATGCCTCAACATCTTCCTAGTCATGCTGTATGTGTAATCAGAGTGGAAACATACTTACAAAGATAAAGAAGTTGAATAGCACCATCATGAATTTGAGAAACATGAAGGAGCACATTTTAATCTGCAAAAGGAGGAAATTAATTTTAGGGTTTTGTACTTACATTACTGAGGACTCTTATCTAACACACACGCAAATGTTATTGGAAGGTTATGAAAAGGAAAATTAGAGAAAAGATAAAGTTCAAAAGTGGCAGCGATCTTACCTCTTTCTGTAAAACCAAAGTAGAGAAAAATTAAACCAGTTGGCTTTCTGAATTAAATAGTGACTAAAAATGCAGCAGAAACTTAAACACAAATGATCATCTGTCTCTTTAGTTTATCTCTTTCCAGGAACTTCCAGAGATGCAGGTAAAAAGTGCATGTCTGAGATCACAAATCTGAAATTTGTTTCCTCTTGGTGGAGCAAGAGGAGTGCTGGGTGTGTCTTGGAGGATACAGGTGACTGCAGGTGAAGGTGTGGTGCTGCTTAGGTGGCAGCTGTGAACCCTGCAGGGACAGGGACACATTCAAAGCAGTGGATTTTCTTTTTTTCCTTTTGTACATTTTTACATATTCATCACACCTACATATATCATTTACATTTCCTTCATTTGTGGATATGGCTGTCCATGTGGTTTACTAGTTTTTGAACCCTTTCCAGACTGATAGAGGTCATTAACTTGTTTACTCATTTGTTATTGAGGTTGTTTTTTTTTTTAGATTGTGGCTTGACGTATGTGTCTGTGGTTTTTCACAGCATTGAAAAATGAATTTGCAATAGACCTTTAAACCTGTGACAAGATTAAAACAACCCACAAATCCTAGGACAACAGATTAAAGTGAAGACTGAAAGGTGCTGTAGGTAGCGCAGTATTCGACTTAGAAAGACAGAACCTTTCAATTCTAGCTCGTCAAAACTTGCAGCTGTGTCACGCTGTGTGAAACTTGTTGATGTTTGAGCTGTTCATATACTTTACCATCCAACTCTGAGGTCCCATTTGTACTCGAGCTGAACACTTTTACCGTTCCCATCTTGGTGTTTGAAATCAGAGCATAATAAGCAAGGTGAATCTGCTGACACACACGCACAGATGCATCAGGCCAGCTTAGGGCTCACTATCTCGCCCCAGGATCCTTCAAGATGATTTGCTCCATCTCCTCAGCCACATCCATCATTTTTGAGTCCATCTGTATAAGCAAGACCTGCCCTGTAAAAGAAGTTTTCTCAACCTCAACATATGTTGCATACATCATCCTACATTACTACAGCTAAATAGGTCAGAGTCTTAAGAAATCAGTAAATCCTAATAAATGAACAAATAAACGGTACAATTGTTCCATTATTTTATTACTTCTGTTTTTGATGTCTTCAACATTCATTTGCAAACTGCCCTGTTCAGCATTACATTGTACACAGCCTCTCTCTCTCTCTCTCGCATCTTTTGGAAATATTATTACAAGACTTAACAAAGTACACTTATTTTATATGATGAACCACACTCTGCATATGTTCAGTTACTGTCACCACATTAAAACGTTGCTCACACTTGTTGGCACTCTCCTTGTCTTTGTTGTTTAATGGTTACTATCAGAGCCACAGATCAGCAGTATCTGATCTCTGTTACTGCTGCCTGCTGTCAACTCTATTGTTCATCTCTGCTTTCTTTGTTCTGTTTCTTACTAAGCACTGCAGCATCCCATCCTGACCACCAGAGGGGAGCAGTGAACTACAGAGGTACCTGTCAGAGCTTTGTCTCTATTGTCCTGCAACTTTTACTGGCTAACCGGTCTTTCTCTGAGTGCAAGAATGTGCCTCCCTTTTTCTTTGTTCTTCATTTTAACTAGCTGTGTGCACCTTTAGCAGCCAATCAAATGTAACTGTCTAAATAATACTTCTCCAAAATAAAACCTAGTATATAATTAGGAGTGTTGTATGTTGACAGTTTTCCCATATTGTCTTTTATGTTTAAAGAACAAAAGCTTCCTTGTCTCCCTTTGTGTCTTTCTGATAGTCTTTATTTGAAACACATTTCTACAG